ATATGTACATATTTTGATATTATTAAAATTGTTTAGTATAATGACTTTTTGTTAAATATTTTTGTATAATTTCCCTTTCTTATGTACATAGATACATACATTTGTAGCATATGTGGTATGTACATTAGAGCAGGTCGATTTACAACGAGTCAAAAAAASAAAAAAAAAAATCGTGTATGTAGGAAATGTTCTACGGATCACTCTGAACGACTTTTTTTTAAGAGGCTAGACACATAAAAGAAAGTTTTTCATACAATAATTGTATATCCATAGTTGCCGTTCAAACTATGTTCATTAGAGSGGGTCGATTTTTTACTATCAGCTCGCGTATGAGCAAAAGTTCTACATATCATTCTGAACAACTTTGCCTGAGAGACTATGGGTCTAAAGCCGGTTTCGAGCCAGATATTTTTAAGGGGAATTTTTTGGGTTTATAAAAATTTTTTTGTCAGCTTTTTAGTTATCCTAATGAAATTTAATACGTAGGAGCACTTTGTTATTCTATTGATAATTGGACGGAAACGGTTAGTTCGTACAAACATTAACTTATTTTTTTATGTTTATAATGAACTTGAATGAATAAAATTTTTYCSCTAGAGACATTATTCCATCAGTGTAAAACTTTTKTGGTTCCTCGGCGAAAAGAAATTTACACAAGCTTCTTTCCCCACCGAATATTCAGCATAACCTKTCGAGGCGTCAATCCTAGCTTTGCGACCATTTGTTGAGCTTCACCACGCTTGTACCATGATCTTTTTCGCACATTATTGTCGTATTTGTTGCACTTTTCGTCTCGTGTTACCATTCGCTTCAGAAATAATTTGATTTTATTTTGTTTCAGCACAGAATCGCAGATGTTAATTCAGTTCATTAAATTTTTATGTAACACAATGAGAGATATGTATATTCAGTTCTAATAACAAAAAAGCAAATTCACTAATTTTACATATTTTCTAAGTCGTCAAATCTCTATTTACACACACTTATTCCGTTTAAACGCCTGATTGCAATAATTTTATAAAATAACTTAATTAAATAATCTGTAACCAATTAATAATTCTTAATAATATTAAAAAAGTAAGTTTTACTTGTTTGGCTTTTCAAATTGAGAGGTAAAAGTCTTTCAGTTTCAAATTATCGAAAAATAATGTAATTGCACAAAACCGGAAACAATGCAATAACTCTGTACACGCACATACACATACAAGTATGTATTTAAATAAACAAGCAGCTGTGCAAATATACTGGAATCCATGGCTGAATTATTTTAAGAACACAAATAACTGCTTTCAATACAAGTATGTATATATAATTAAGTTATTAACATTTTTGTTTTTAATAAAAACTTAATTTAGAACTCCATTTTGTCGAAATATATGTATTTAATTATAAAATTTTTTTGCATATTCCGAAATTACTGCTTGCTAAGTATTTTTGAATCGAAATATCTGAATAAGCAAATTTTCAACGGCGTTTGCTCTACTTACTCTTCTGCATGTTCGCTTATTCTGCCATTGATTTGAATTTTATCGCCTGGCTGTGTAGGTTGAGGCAGAATGGCAATGAACTTCGTCGAAGACATATCGATTTTGGTTTATTTAGCTTTCTTAAATACCAACCAATCACTATKATTAGATTTTGTTTAAATTCTAAAATTATTACGTTTTACTCAGCACTTTAGTACTTTTGTAAATAAAGCGTATTCAATATAAATTTACTGTTTTTTAGTTTGTTGTGGTCTGTAGTGTTGCTATGCTTAATCAGATTGACAATTAATGACGTTGGTTATAAGGCACACTTCGCGATTTTTTTTTTTTTTGTTATATTAATTACGCGCACTAGGAAATGATTTGTCTGCGTCGGATGTCGTGCACAAATACGAGTATGGTAAATATTATGTGTGAAAACGAACTATTCGCTTCGGCTGGCAAATGAATACTGGAAAACTTCACCACGAAAACCGACTTTAAAAACGTTAAAGAATTTTTTATATTTCATTAACTAAAAGTAAAAAGAACCATTACGTCACAGTGGAAGAATATAAATATTTGTTGAGTGACGTATATGTATGTGTGTGTACGTTTCGGTTTTGTCTCGTGTACTCGAGTATCCGCCTTCGTTGTGTTTCCCACAGCGTGTGCAAGATTTCCGCTTGCCAGCAAAATTTCACTTCTCTGCCATCACTTTAAACCTGACACGCTCGAATTTAGTTAAGTACTGAGAAATCAAATTTGGCTGCTGATGGCCACATCTAATAGCAATGCTYGCCGGTATTGAGATACAAATTTGCTCTTGACTCTCTTATCAAATAGGTGGGCAAGTAGAGCAATGTAGGTTTGCTGCGAGCGGCTGCCATAGGTTCGAATGTAATATTTAGTTGCCAAAATGCCTCACTAAGCGGGATTTCTGTGAATGAAATGTAATATTTAGTTGCCAAAATGCCCCATTAAGCGGGATTTCTGTGATTGAAGGAATGATTAATACTGTGTGAATAAAAAAACACACATGTTATCGACTTGGACGCGTGGAAGCATTTTTATTTGTAAATTGTATTATGAAGTTTCGTTGCAGTCGAAGTTTACGTTCATTCGTGTTTTTTTTGTTTTTTTTTGCTTTTATTGACTTTTATTTATTTTTTTATTTCACTCTTTTAATTAGGATTACCACTCTTATAACATACATCTGTATGTGCTAGTTTATAGTATTTTATAGATCTATCTTATTTTATATAAGAGTTTACCAAGCATATGGCATTGCAGTGAAATGCAKTAAAAAAATGGGTGCGATCTAACCACGCAATAAAATGCTTTACGCTCTCAAATCMAATTTAGTAATTCGAATTCTTCCACTACATGCGAGCTCTCAACAGTCTATTTGAGATAGTAGAGCAGGAATAGAGAAGCACACACTCATTTTGACACCAATTAATTYATGATTTGACATTGTCAATATGTACCTGGACTGCCTGACCTATGCCAATGGTCTTAGCATATGCAAATTCTGCATTAGTATTGTAGTATTACACAATAGACATACATATATGTATATAAATACATATGTATGCATGCATAAACTGCCCCGTACACTTTTAATTTTATTAATAAATATGTTAATAATAATGCTACAAGTCATCACTAAAATATTTATTTCCTTGAATATTTCGCATATTTAAGTACTTTTAAATTTAGAAGCGAATTAAAAATAGCTTTTAATCTTCAAGTGAACAAGTGAGCAATAGCCGAAAGAAATGGTTTGTCACAGTTTTAATGAAATTTGAAAGGTTTCTTTTTGCATGGAAATATTTTGCCTGTGTTATTTTAATTGATTGTACAATTGAATTTTATTGTAAAGTACTATATTTAAGAAATGCAAAACAGTACATATAGAAAGCCATTTTATTTTAACTGGATTTGGAAAAATCGACCCCCTCTCATGTTCCATGTCCTAGCAAGAGTTATACGGTATATATATGTATATGTATGTCTCGGAGGACACACTTACACTTACACTTTATTCCTGCTTACACACTAACCGATCCAAACGGGGTTAGTTCGCCGARAAAACAGCCCTTGGTCGGATGAAATCCGAGTCAATTCCGGTGCGTAAAACCGGCTGTCGTGGGAWTTCTCGGAGAAAACTTGCCGTACGGTACCCCTCATAACCCAGTTCTGATTAAAAATGTTAAGCTTTATTATTAGATAATCGCTTAGCACAGCTAACGCTGGGTCCTTTCGTTAATAGAAACCTATAGAAATACTAATAATTTAACTTTTTTTCAGATTTTAAGCATTAAAGCATATGRTATTATTTATTAATAATTCTATATTATTATTTAAATAATATATTGAGCCTTAAAAATATTATTTATACATTTTTCACCTCTTTAAATATTTTCTTAAGAGTTTCTCAGCGAGAATTCCGCCATTAAATATAAAATCAAAATATTTGTTCTCCTTGAATTAGATGGTAGTTTATTTCTTTTTAAAAGTGGGCATTCCTTCTTTCAGGATTAAAACTATATAATGTTTGTAAAATATAATATTTTTATTTATGTTCACTGTGAATAAATAATATTATGKTACCATCTGTCGGCATTTATTATGATTTTTACTCCGAAAAAACAATGGCGGCCATTTGACATATGTCAAACWTTTTGACGGATTTGGCAACACTGTCGCGCCTAACCTTCCTTTCTACATTAATTTCTTTGCGGTGTACACGTGTTTTCCAAGATGGCACCCGTCGAAAATGCAAAAAAATCCGCGAAAACGGGCAAAAAGAACCATAAACACCCGGTGAACAAATATCTGAGTGGAGGAATTCTTCGTTACTCCAAGAGCCAGGTAAAAACTGTGAAAATGTGACTGAAAAAAAGACATTTAAAATGTTAGWACAGCGCCTCTAGGAGGGGATGGCTTTATTGTGCTAAAGAACCATATTATATGGATTCTAATTGGAACATATGTATTTAAGTGAACCATCTTTCCAAATATATTGTTGAAAAAAAAAAATGTTTCGAAAAGTGTTAGCATGAAATAGTGCGTACATTAAAACGTGGATGTCGAGTGTTAAAAATGTGTTTAGGTTGTTTGCCAACATCTGTATATATACTAACATTAAAAATAACACCTTTTCTAGTTGCTTATAACGTCATATAAATTTTTTTCTGTTTAATTTCAGATGTACAAACGTCGTGCTCTCTATCGTTTGAAGAATGTAAAGCAGCCAATCGTACCTAAAACAAAGCAACCCATCAAGAAGGTGAAGAAGATCAATGGACCCAAAAACGGTGGTGAACGTACCGTATACTTGAAGAAACCCAAGGCTAACTACCCAACCAAACGTTTCGTTAAGAAACGTCCAGCTAAGTCGCTCTTCAGCAACCACAAACGCAACATTCGTCGCAATCTCACCCCCGGACGTGTGCTGATTTTGTTGGCTGGCCGTCACCAAGGCAAACGTGTTGTCTTGTTGAAGGTGTTGAGCTCTGGACTGTTGCTGGTAACTGGTCCATTTGCGTTGAACTCCTGCCCATTGCGTCGCATTTCGCAACGCTTCGTTATTGGCACATCTTCTAAAGTGAATTTGGGTGACTTGAAAGTCCCAGAACACTTGAATGATGCCTATTTCCGTCGCTTGAAAATCAAGAAGGACAAGAAATCTGGTGAAGGCGATATCTTCGCTGTCAAGAAGGAACGTTTCGTTCCCAACGAACAGCGCAAGAAGGATCAAAARGAAGTTGATGCTGCTGTGTTGAAAGCTATCAAAGCACACCCAGAAGGCAAATTCTTCAAGAAATATCTGCAAAATATGTTTGCTTTGCACTCATCGCAATACCCTCATCGCCTGCGATTCTAAATAACGCATTAGGGTAAAGTGTATGAATGTTGAACAACATTCAGGTTTTCTGTAGGATTTCCGTTTTTTTAATTTTTATGTCAACACAAACTAAAAGATAAAAATATAAAATTTTTAAAAATTGGAATACTAATTGTTTAAATACAATGGGGAATAATAGTTAGGCTGATATTCGCATCGTTATWAATAAAAGCTAAGGGAGAAAATATAATTTCTTATTGTGTTAAAAAAGTTACTTTCTGCGGAAGTTGTTTGAAATGTTTCCAATTTTAAAATAAATACTTTTATTCCAAAGGCGGAAAGAGATATAGAAAAAGCGAACTTCTAAATTTATTGCAAGCAATTTTAACTGTAAATTTATGATGACCTTATGAGTGTGCACCAAAACAGCTGTAAGCGTAGAACAAACAATTGGAAATGTTTTTGKGTAGCTTTGTGGCAAGTTTAAGTAAACGTCGAAAATTAGATGTAATGTCTATTTTTATTGGCTCGTACAAGCAACAACAACCACTATATATTAAATTTAAAAAAATTACATATTCCATAATATTATTTCACTTTGTTTTTCTTTAACGGCTCGATTTCGCTTACATTTGTAAACACATACATTAAACAAATAAATAGTCGTAAATGAACAATACACATACATACATATGTTAGCATTAAAAAAATCATAGGTGCATTAGCTAATAGTCTTTCAAAATATAAATAAACAAGCATTCCTGAATTAATCTCATGCTTAGCATCTTTAAGGAGATTCGACAGATTGTGGTTAATCTATTTATTCCAATCCTAAGGCGTATTTAAACTTGCGTCTGCCCTGTATATACCACATAGTCTCATGATAGGATCGTGGCAATATCTCATGTACAGAATCGTTAGCTTTATAAGTACTATAAAATAAATTCGTAGTTACTTGACCACCACTTGTGTCTAAGACATCAGCAACTGTCATTATTTGTACATAATTCATTTCTGTATATACAATGTAGGAGGTCAATTTTATAAAAGATGTAACTGGCACTGGCTTCTCGAAACTTATATCGCAGATATGCGTTAATTTGGGGCGATTACCACAATAGAGGAAAGCAGCAGTCCAACTGTTTTCTAGAGCTAAACGCATGAGAAATCCACCGAAGACAGTGTTGTGTGCATTACGATTATCCGGGAATGATGGTATTGTTGTAACTGTACTCCATTCGGACATCCAACGTGCATTCGAGGGAAGCCATCGTTTGTTCAACTCCATGGTGTTAGTGTGTGTTGTTCGCTTATAGATATCATACATTAAACTTTGTTCGAAATCATTYGGTTCCACTTTGAAAATAGATTGCGCTTGTATCAATTGGCGACGTTTTTTGCGTGCCTCACCGCCGGAAAGAATCTGTTTCTCTTCCTCCGTAGCTGGTGTAATGGGATTGACTGGAGCTGCACCAGTATTAGTGGCATTTCGTGCAGCCATAAGGAAAAGTGCACGTGTTATCTTTTTATATACGCCTTGGTACTTTTGTTCYAACCAAACAACAATTTCCATTGAACTGCGTCCTACCCAAGACACATGGCCGGAAATGCGTATATCTTCTTTGACATCCGTTGTCAAGTTGCTAAAAGTAATCTTGTCCACCAAAATAGTAACGAACGTATATGGAAGATCAACATTCGCTGGTAAGTTGGGCACTTTGACGTGCTGATGACATACCCAAACTATAATAATATAATATAAATATTTACATATAATTGGAGTTTTTACTATTTTCGAGTAATTACTAAATTCAATTCTATAAAAGAACGCACTTTTCACGTTACATTTAAATATTAAAAGAACTATGTACCTGCAAACGCGTCTAAATCTTCCATTAAACGGCCCATACGTACGTTTCCCAAGTGGGAGACATAATTATCCTGCAATCTCAAATCGGTGCTTAAGGGAAGCAGTGCGGATGTGAATGAATCCTGCATTGAACGTGCTGGTAAATCCTCTGGTTTTGGCGTATACTTTAGTAAATGTTCGCGACTTTTTGGTATGGGATGGTAGCCTCTTTCCAAACCCAAGTGCTGTATAATCTCACTCCTAACTGTAATAGTTGTGAAGTTTTGTATATACATACATATGTAGTTTGTAAGCATAAATAGTTAAAAGTATTATTGCGGYTTAACCTTGATCCATGGTATATTTCGGATCCGATACATCCACACCTTTTAACGCCGTTACGAAATTCGCCGATCTTAAAACAATTAAACAGTATATTTACATAATTACGTTTGTTTGGATGTATGTGAAGTGGAAAATTTTTGCRAAACTTACAGTTGAACAGGTATTGGCATTGATTGCTTACGCATCAAKATACGCGAACAAAGTTGCAAAGTCCGAAACATTTTTTATGTAATATTTAGAAGTATTTTAATATAATAGTCTTGACTTTGATAAGCCTGATTTCAATTTGTTTACGATTTTTGTCTACCAGCCAATCTTCAAACTCTCAGCAAATTTTAAACTAATCAATTGTAGTTGTCTTATGTCGCAGTTAGTGTCGCACGTAGAATGTTGTCGTAAACGTTCACCGTAAAGACCAAACCATCGATTGCATGTGTTCCCGGTTAAATGTTTTTTATATTTTCWAGTTCCAACGTTGCCATTTAATATATTTGATCAACGCGTGAGACTGTTATAAATATATTGGCTATTTTTTATAGCTTTTCAAATGTGCCTTGGAATTTATTCGATTGCTTGTGATGTGMGAACGAAAGAATCTTCGTTCGTGCTAATAATTTCATCGTATGTTATTAGCTGCATCTTCTAGTAGATTGGTGTGCGTATATAAGTATATATATCTAAATATTAAATAATAACAAGTAAGGAAGAGCTAAATTCGRGTGTAACCGAAAATTTTATTAAGGAAGGATAAGCCTTTTTTGTTATAATTGGTCGAGTTTTCATCCGATTAAATGGATTTTAAGCACAAATGTGCACCGTTATTAGAAAACAATTTGTTKTTGTTGTTGTTGTAACGGCCGAATTCTGCCGAGTTGACAGTCCTTGGCCGGATAAAAATCCGGATCCGTTCGGGTTTTCGTAGACCCGACTGTCGTGGGAACGGAGAAAAATACTTTCTTACATATTGCCCGATATACGCGGTATAAAAGTCATGTCCGGGTCCGTTCCGGTTTTCGTAGACCCGACTGTCGTGGGAACTGAGAAAAACAATTTCTTACATATTGGCCGATATAAGCGGTATAAAGTCAGCCGGAAGTTCCAATTATACTCTGTAGCAACATGTTTCAAGAGCARAATAAATATTTATATATTCAAGAAGTACGGTCCAATGACGCCGCCGGCCCACAAACCGAACCAAACCGTAAGAGTTTCGGGTTGCACGGAGACTCATGGAGAACGTGTGGATTGCTGCTTGACCAATAACGCATATTTTGTTTTTGACGAAGACATTCAGACAGAAATGAGCCTCATCGCTGGAGATGATGATTTTTTGATGAAAATCCGGATAATTTTCAAGTTGTTGCTCGGTCCAATTCAAGAACATACATAAAGATATACATACATCAAAAGTGCTGTCCCTATCAGTCTACTTTAATAGACAATATATGTCAGTCCGGGTCAAATTTGATCAAATAGTAAAAAGTCKCACACAGCATAAAGAAAATATGCCCAAATAAATGCATTACACATTGAATTGRTCTTTAAGCGTTTCTTTTTTATTTGGCACTAGTCAGAAATGTACACATATTCATTAATTATTATCACAATTAATATATACTTTTAAAATTCGTTACAATTTAATACAGTTTTCGCAATAACAACTTCTATTAGCATATAAAATGCATTCTAAATAARTTATTACATTAAAAATTAGTGATAAACGAATTCATACGTTACTCATGTTAATTTAGATCTTATAATAAATATACGCCGTTAGGATTTTTACGGTTTACCAATCAATGTGAAGTGTTTGTAAGAAATAAAAATGTTTCACAAATTATACAATTTGAAAATTTAAGGCTTTATTATTTAAGAATATAAGAATTTCACAAAGAGCGCGCTGCTCATTAACTTATTTCAAGCTTATAGAAGTATTTATACATATTACCGCTAGTTAACATACATACATATATTATTTACTATATAAGTATGTACATACACATACTAGATTTGATGAACTTGCTTTGGCAAATTGATTTGAATAAAATTTTCTATTTCCGTTCATTAACACTACAACATTATCTACATATTTTTCATATTCTTTGTTTACAGTTACTCGTACATACATATATTTAAATATTACTGTATATGCCACTTAAACTAACGAGTTGAGTTAAAACCACAAAACATACTCATCATTCGCCTCTCAATTGCAGAGGAGAATGCATTTGTATGTACATATGTATGTATGTATGTATGTAGATGAGCCACAGCARCTGTACATTTGGTATATACCATAAGTATGTCGGTTTGTGCTTATAGATATTCATAAAATATGATCCAATAGATGGCGTTGAGACCGGCGAAGAGCGCCGGGAAGAGTACCCTCGATGTGCGATCAATATAAATGGCACGCTTYAGACGCTCTTGCTGTGGCGTCAGCTTTGGTTTAGGCGGCTCAGGYTCTGGCGGTGGCGGCGGCGGTGGTGGCGCAATAGTTGGRGTGAGTATTATGCGCGATTCTTGACGCGGTATCCAAGGACCATCGGCGTCGAGTGGCGGTCGAACAACACGACGTGTGTGCACAACCTGAAAAACGTGTGAWTTAAGAAAATTATGCTATAGCCACAGATTTGTAACTCAAAAAGGTTATGTTATTATGAAACTGTCAGCTATAGCTATAGTTTTATATGGTTCTTAACTTGAAAAATGATTCTCAAAAGGTTGGAAAGCGTTTTAATATATAACATTGCGTACAAAGTTTCCCAAATATAATCCGTGAATTAATTTGCATCGATTTTTCTCTGAGAATAAGATATTTTCTCGGAGTAAAACATAGCTTATGTGTAAAGCCAAAAGTGTTGACTAATTCAAAAACAAATTTAATTAAATTCGCTTACGCCGTTTAGTCCTGAAGAAGTAACAAACATTCCAACTCACAAAGTTTATTAGTATTAATTAAAGTAATAATCAATATGTATCAAACATATCTGTTTATAKGGTGAGATCAATTCACTTTGAGGATTGATTGATATGGCTACGCTGCTAATAATAATGCTTGCTTCCCTTATAAACTACAATAATCCTTAGTTTCAAGYTTCAGTTTCGCATTCSSATGACATACTATTTGATGAAATTACACTTATCTTAMTTTTACTCACCCGCTTATTTTTGGTCATTTCGTCGAATATTTTCTCAATTTTCTCTATCTTTTCGTCCGGCACCACTTTGGCGGGTGTGATCACTGGTGCCGGTGTRGGAGCTGTGGCTGGCGGCTTTTCTGGTTCTTTTTTCGCACCCTCCGGCACAGGTTTCGGCGGATAAGCCATTGGTTTCGGTATGGGCGTATCACTCAACACAATATTTATTAGGCAATATTCCATTAGCGCCATAAAAACAAACACCGTACAAACGGACATGAATGCATCGACCGCCTTTAAGTAGGAAACCGGCGGCAGAGATGATTGCGACTTCGCATGTTGCGTGGACAAGGTCAACAGCGAGGTGACGCCTAATGTAACACGCGCTGGCGCAGCTTCCGGYTTGATCCAAAACGAGACCCAAGACATTATAACAATCATACAAGTCGGTATATATGTGTTGAAAACATAGTAGACAAGGCGACGTTTGAGCGTGAAAACGACCTCGAGACAAGTGAAATTGCCCGTCGAATACACTTGAGTGCAATCTGTGAGTATAATGTGTAAATTATAAGAATATTATTTTAAGTTTACTTGTATGTGTCGAACCTGCCGTTTCATTTCGTATCAGCGCCACTTGCGGCAATTCAATATTTTCATCTACTACTAAAGGCGTCGTAGGATCCCACTGAAAGATCATATCATCTGTTGTGTGTGACACTTTTGGCAAARGACAAATGAAAAATAAGCCATTAAGTCAGCAAATTCGTAATGCTTTTAGGTTAGTTTGTACTTACAACTTTCCATCTGCAGTTTGCATTCTTGTGTATCATGTGGATAAATGGCGAAATTCATAATGCATGACAATTTCAGTGTTAGCTTCACCATATAAAGTATGGTCTTATCCTTGTACAACCACATGTAGTGATTGGGAATTGTCATGGTTTGAAAAGTCACTGATTTGGCATTTTTGAAGAAAGAATCCGGTCGCCACATATTCTTTAGCCAATCGACTTCTAGTAATCGGTACTCTTGTGTCATGTTCTCGGGCAGTCGCAAGCGATGATCCTTCCAGGTTTGTGCAAAAAACACATCCGCAACATATGTCATAGAGTTCTCGTCGATCGAATCGAGACCCATTACGGTGACGTGAAAATAAACRATTGTTGGTTGTCCATCCTTTTTGGGTGGACGCATTTTATCATATCGTTTTATGTCCTCGGGCAAAATATCTGTTATCGCCAAGCTTTGCCTTTCGTGTTAGTTGTGTAGAAGATTGTTGATGATTAGTTCAAGAAACGAAAAATATTAGCAACTGTGTTAACTTACTGGTATTCGCCCGTTGTGAATTTCTCTAAACATATTGAAAATATTACCAAGAGAAATATTTGATATTCCATAACTGCAAGTAAAGAATACGATTTGTTAAAAAAAAAAAATATTTATATAAAACAAGAAAAGAACGTTAAATTCGGCTGCATCGAAGTTATAACACTCTTTACAGGTGCATTTCTCGTCAAATTAAAAAGGTTTCCTTACAAGAACTCGATTTTGAACGGTCATTTTGTATAGAGATTATATGTTATGTTGATCCGATCTGAACAATATGTTTAGAGATTATAAATATAGTCGAAAAAGTCGTTTCGTATTTCTAATCAAACTTCAACTTTTTATTTATATTTTTATAATGAACTTTAATGAACCRAATATGTACCATTTTGCTCAATCACTTTTTGCCATTTATTTGCTAGAGACATTATTCCATTAGTGTAAAACTTTTCTGGTTTCTCGGCGAAAAAGTGCRAGAAGTAATTTTCACAGGCTTCTCTTGAAGTCAACTTTACTCCMYTAAGGAAGCTCTGCATTGACCGAAACAAATGAAAACAAATAAAAACTTCCCAGMCAAGATCTCCCAGTTTTTGCCGAGTCCTCAATGATGTGTGTGGTCTAGCGTTGCCCTGATGGAAGAGGCAGCAYTTTTTGTTGATCAGTTCTRGCCGTTTGTTTGCGATTGCTTGCTTCAATCTCATCACTTATTGACAGTAAAATGYATAATCAATCGTTCCAACAGGTTGGAGCAGCTCATAGTGGATGATTCCTTTCCATTCCCACTAAACAGTCAGCATAACCTTTTCGCCACGTATTTTACTGGAAATATTAGTTCATAGTTCAGCGGGGTTTAGATTTAGTATCACAGATTGACTATAAGAATAAGCTTCACTCTGAAACCAACAGCACAATAACTAGAATCTAATGACACTCATGTGTCTGTCTGTTAGGGAAGCATCTGCTTTCATAATGACAAAACTGGAACTTTTTCAACARATTAGGCGTCCGCCAATCCGTACAATAGTGGAGACTTAAATGTCCTGCCCCTCCCAAGAAGTAATACTTAATCGGCGGTTCCGTGGGAGAGACTTGATTTGGGAGTAGGTCAGGTTTAGTGCATTTAAGKTTCGCACGCCGGCTTTCGATGCTTCCCCTTACTATTAAACAAGAAAAGTATTAATCGAATGACGGGAATGACTCGGATAGGTATATGGTAAATCTGTCGTATAGGCATTTAACAAATATATAATATACTTCTCATATCAAATCAAATCTTTATGAGTTCCTGACTACCAACAGTGTCCTTAAAGTCAATAATTAAATAATTGATCAGTGATTACTTCCTATAATTAATTAAAAACTTTACTAATATTTCGCTRAAATATTTATGCATTGAAAGTCTTAACCTTTCTACTAAGTATTTTATTATTTGCTTTATGTAAGTATTAGACTTACACTGTCAAGGTAAGAGAGGACCTAACAAACAGAAAATGAAAATAGGAAATCGCTAACCTGAAATTGCGATGTACCCTTGAAGTAATGCCTAAGACGGCGGCAATAATTTCAAAATCCTTTCAACCRGTGTCACTGACAATGACAATCGAATTGAAAACGGAAATAACAAAATATTCATTAACAAGGAGGAATTACCTTGACGGCTGCGTAATTATATGGATAGTTCGCGCACACCCAGAAATAGTATCAAAGCATGCAAAGATTTTCAATCGCACACGAACACGCTCATACAAACGTACCTGAAYGCCTTACTAATATTCACATACACATAAATCATACACACACAAAGACAACTTACGACGAATGCGTTCATAAATATGCATATTAGTATCAAATATTGAGAGAAATATTCAAATGAATTCAAATAAAAAAAAARRAAAAAAAAACAACAATAACAAAAAATTATAATAAAAGTCAACGACGCATATTTCCTCACCGCCAAAGGCTGGAAGTCTTGGCAAGGTTTGTGGCTTGCACTAGACCTTCTTGCAGCTGTGTGACGGTCACAATAGCGACTTAATTCACAATTAAAACCACTTGACTAGAGTGGCCGCCACAAGTATCTGTATGCGCTTTTATGGCGCATTGTCATGACATGAAATGCGGTGATGCTCACATCAACGTTGTCTCGGAGGTCGACTTGAGTATGTGTTGGGGTCGTTGTCTAGCGTCAACGATGCCAGCAGTGCCACCTAATCGGCAGTTGAATAAAAAAGTTGCGAGAAAATCGACATTCAAAAACGTAAGCAAACCGCAAGGACACTTTGAACAAAAAATTGCTTGAGCGTAGGCAAAAACATGCTATTTAAACAAATTTTCATTATGTGTACACCGTGACGTATGAGCAACATAGAATTTACCTATATGGCACCCACGTGCATGTGAATTCGATTTAAACTGCGCATAACTTTTGAAAGCATGATTTTGGAAAAAAAAATTATCAACACTGCTTTTGTAGAGCGTAAAATTTAGTTTTGGCTTATAATTTTTTAAACTTACGGATAAAAGTGTATAGTACTAGCTATAGGTGTTATATGGGTTTCCTCGGGTAAAAAACCGCCTTTACTCAACCATTTGTTTCTCATAATATATTAAAATTAAATATTTTATTAGAATTTTTTATTGTTACAAACATACATTAATAACAAAGAAATTCTGACATTTTTGTAAAAAGATATTTTAAACTCGGCCAATGCGACGCTATTTCCTGTGACACCCTGGAAAAAAGATGCGTCCTCATTAGCAGGGTAACTCCTAACAGGATCATCTGAGTGAAAAAAACACATGTTTTAGTTAAAATCTTAACTTAGAACTTGGACGAAGAAAGAAACTGAAAATTGGATTTTAGTTAGACATTTAAAAAAAAAACAAATGAAAATTTCAGTGAAAACTTCGCGACAATTTCCGACTTCAAAAACATAGTTTCGAAAAAAACGCGTTTAAAGACGGCGACGGCGACGGCGGACTTAGCTTACTTAGCCTCGAGCGCACAAGTTCTCAAGGCTGTATCGCCGAAACTATGACTCGGATCAACTTTAATAAAATTTAGGAAAAATATTCTAGAGTGGTTGCAGAAATAGACAACAAATAAAAATCGATTTTTTGAAACCAGTAAACCCATTTAATCCTTTAAGGCAAATTATCAAAGAAGGTTGATAAGGTTGATGAAGCCAGGTTTTAATTAAAAAAAAACAACTTGTTTAGGTTGGGTAATTTCTTTTAGCGCGAAAGCTGAAAAATCAGGTGGCGTCTGCAAAAGTATCAAATTTGAAAATCGTCATTTTGTGTCAAGTCAGGTCTATACGGCGGATGAGTTAATAAATCGCTGTTTTGAGTGCTCTAAAATTAAGTTGTTTCAATCGATGTGTGAAAGCTCGCATCGTCATAGTCATGTCATCTGTCTTCGGCGGTCGGTTTTCCAGATTTCTTGAATGACAACTTTCAAACAAATGGTTGTATACTACTAAGAGCTTACTTTTCTGCGTTGTTCCAATGGTATGATCGCGACGTAGATAGTTTTTCCACAAAAAAAAAAAAACAACAGGGAGCCACTTGATGGGATGTGCTTTCTAGAAACACTCGTACAATCGACTGCTGTTTACTTTAGATTTCAGGCGCGTAAGTCCCCGGTTCACCATCTATTACGATGTTATGGGCGTGTTTCGAAGCATCGATTTTGTATTTTTTTACATTTCTCTCGACCAATTGACATGAGCGTTGTTTAGACCGATTGACAAATTGTTATTGATAACGTGAAAAAAGTTTTTTACAGTCAAATTATTTCCGAAGTTATAATCGTTCATGATGCCTACCGTTGTCTTAATCTCACGAAAGGTCACATGACGATTTTGCAATATCATTTTGTTCACAGCATCAATAGTTTCCGGAACTATTGATAAACACTTGTATTTCATTAGTTGCTGAGTTAATTCACGTCAAAGCCAAAAGATGGAATCGCACTAAAATGTTCGCGTTTAAATTTAACTTTTTGTCCGAGTTGAATATTTTGAGTTACTGTAAACAACATTGAGACATTTCGCTGCAGATTTTTTGTAGCAAACAAGAAAAATAAACCTGGAGATTCAATAAAGCAAGTTGATGTTTGTGTATAACGAAACTTAATGATATATGCCGCTAWACCTTGTTCATGTGATAGCTTGCAATGAGAAATTATACGATTTCTTGACAATAAATAAAGTTACTTATACAACGCGTACAATAGTTTATTTTTGTTTCATAGAATAAAAAAGCATTTTTTCAGCAGTTTTTCTGGTATTAAATTCTGCAAATGCAATTTTCAGGCACCTTTTCACCCATTTTACTGACTGTCAAACTATCTCAGTCAAGAAATAAGTGAAATGAAACAAATCGTTGATATAAAGTGTTGCAAGTCAGAAAAACGTTTTTTTAGTGAATTTTTTTTGAAGTGGCATTTCATTTTATAGATAAATGAAAATATTGTGTAATAATAGAATATACTTTAATAAACGACGATTCATTTTGAAGTCCCATAGTTGAGAGTCATGTGGACTTTCAAAATCGAAACCGAAACAGTTCTCATGAGAGTCGTCAGGTTCAAGGTATCCGGATTTATCTAAGTTACTTCAAGAATATTTTCTGCCGCTACAACAATAATAAAACTTCCGAAAAAGGCGTCTGAGCGTGAGAATTTTTTTTCCAAAGAAGCTATCTCTATAGCTATGGGTGCAAACAGGTAATGTCAGAAAGACTAGTCAAATTGGTTATTTTTGAGCAAATGGTGCTTTCTAAAGAAGTTGAAAGTTCTCTTAAAGAGTATCCTTACTGCCAATGCCTTGAAAAATCCCTATATTCATGATTTTATCGATTAATTTATCAATCTTTTCGATCATGAAACTTCAATAAGCGATTACAGTAGTCAACATAATTTTTTTTTCTGTTTTCATGCCGAAATTCTGAATTTTTATGCTTAGCTCTTAAAGTTTGCTTTTGTCTGACACGAGAAGGCCTGATTTGACTTGGTACATAAAATAAATTTGGGTAAAAACAAACCTTAATCAAATACAAAACTTTTTTCCTTATTTTTGGTGTGACATAAACTTAAATGTTTATAACGGAAATCCGAAATTATTTAATCCACGTTTTTCCTTTTTAGTTTAGATATTCAAAGGTATCTATCTAAAAGGATTTTTTAAAATTCAWATTAWTTCAGAMGTTTTAGTCGCTTTAGACGAGGTTTTTATTTCGGTTACAACTATGTGAAAAAAATGTCGCGAAATTTTCACAATTTTACAAAAAAAAAGTCTGCCAAAAACCCAATTTTCAATTTCTATTTTCTTCGTCCAAGTTCTAAGTTAACGTTTTAACTAAAACACTTAATTTTTCACTTTAGATGATCCTGTAAGGAATTATCCTGCGAACGCGTCCCATGACCGATATATTTTTCCAGAATTTTCTGAATTTCTTTGTTAATAGTGTAAATTTGTAACAATAACAAATACTAATAAAATATTTAATTTTTTATATTAAAAAAAAATTGTTGATAAAACTACTATTTTTGATGCTATCGTGGCATCTCAAGTTCTAATAAGCCGATTTACTTAAAATATGGCAAAATTAATTTTTAAATATCGCTCTATCACATGAAGTAACAAAAAATTAAAATTTATAAYATTAATAATAATRAARTATAATTAATATTAAAAAATTCGACAAAGTTCAAAAATTAGAGAAAAAATCGAACTTAATTTTKGAGTACTTAGCCACCATTTTATGAATTTTTTTTTTTATTTTTGCAACTTCTTGGGATCGCGACATTCGTCAAAATAGAGCATCAATTCTTTTTTAATTTTTCAGTTGACCACAAGGGTAGGAATCAT